ATATATTCTGGATATTAATTCTTTCAGGTGAGATGAATAGCTAACAAAGATCTTTCTCCCTTTCTGTAGGTTCTGCCTTTGCATCTTAATTGTTTCCTTTGTTGTTCAGGAAGCTTTTTAATTTGATACTATCATATTTGTTTATTCTAGGCATTATTTCCTGAGCTKTAGGAGTTCTGTTGACAAAGTTGTTGCCTATGCCCATGTGTTGGAGTGTTTACCCTATGGTTCGACCCCCTCCAAGAGTTTCATAGTTTCTGATCTAGTTCCTAGGTCTTTGATCCATTTTGAGTTGAATTTTCTGCAGAGAGAGAGATAAGGGTCTAGTCATTCTTCTATATATGGATAACCAGTTTTCCCAGCACCATTTGTTAAAAATTCTGTCTTGGAGCTGGGGCTGTGGCTCAGTGGTGGCGCACTTGCCTGGCATGTGTGGGGCACTGGGTTCAATTCTCAGCACCACATATATTTAAAAAAAAAAAAAATCTATCAACAACTTATAAAATAAATAAATAAATAAATAAATAAATAAATATATTTTAATTCTGTCTTATCTCCAGGGTATGTTTTTAGCACTTTTGTCAATGACCAGATAACTGTAGATGTATGATTTGTCTCTGTCTTCTGTATCTTTGGTCTGTATGTTTCCATACTAGTACTGTGCAGTTTTTGTTACTATTGCTCTGTAGTACAACTAAAAGTCAGATATCTTAATACCTCCAGCATTGCTTTGGTTATTCTGGGTTTTTTATTTTCCAAACAAATTTTAGGGGTTTTCCCCATCCCCACCCCATTTTCAGTTCTGTGAAGAATTTTGTCAGTATTTTAAGGGGGAATTTCATTGATTCTGTACGTTGTTTTTAGTAGTATGGCCATTTTAACAATATTAATTCTGCCTCTCCGTGAACATAGAAATCTTTCCATCTTCTTCTTGTGTAGTCTTCAATCAATTTTTTTCTTCAATGTTCTGTAGTTTTCATTGTAGAGGTTTGTCACCTTCTTGGTTAGAATTATTTCTAGTTTTTTGGTTGTTTCACTTTTGAGCAGGGYGGTGCGTGGGTAGCCGGGAGGTACTGGAGATTCAACTCAGGGGCACTTGACCACTGAGCCACATCCCTAGCCCTATTTTGTATTTAGAGGCAGGGTCTCACTGAGTTGCTTAGCACCTCTCTTTTGCTAAGGTTGGCTTTCAACTCAAGATCCTCCTGTCTCAGCATCTGGAGCCACTGGGATTACATTAGAGAACTACTAGGATTATCTGCGTGAGCCTTTGTGCCTGGCTATTTTTTTT